AAAAATTTTTGGGAAAATTTACGATACAACTATTGTAAAGCTGGACTATACCTTTATTACTATTAATTATCAAATATTTTAGAAGAAAAAATACTATTTATTCATGAAAAAATACTATATTACTATTGTAAAAAGTAAGAGATGAAAATTTCCAGTGCTGCCTCTGTATCTTTTCAATAGAACTATAGCAAATTTTACAATAGTTGAATTGGAATGTCTCTCAATTAGTGTGAGTGATGGCCGTGCATAGCGCTAGACTCTTAGTTTATATAAATGTTAAAGGACATGGGTATTAGTTTATCGCGGATAGCCTAAAGGGAGAGTCTCTGGCTACCAACACAGAGTTTCTGGGTTCGATTCCCAGATAGCACGAAAATATCAGTTTCTTTTTTCGATTACTGTGCAGGTACCAATTCGTGCTACCTTATATCTCTCTCCCACCCTAATATTTCTTCTAAAAAAACCAACTGTGAATTTTTACAATAGTTGAATTGTAAAATTCACAGACACATATTGTATAATTTGCTCTATAGTATTCGACTTTTTAAAACTCTTGCTAGTCTTATTTGTTGGATAAAATTTACAATAGTAGATCGTAAAGATTACTAAATGAGAAGTATAGTCCACCGTTACTATTTTATTTAGTAAAAATTACTATAGTAAAATAGTAATAACTCCTTCAATTTTCTTCCCGTGTAGAGATAGAGCATTTTCGAATGTAGCCTAAATACTTATAATAAATTGACTATCGGTGAGAATGATATAAAACCTTGAAAAGGCACAAATTCAAATCAAGACCTTTGCAATGACACTAAATTTCACTAAAAAAACCGATTTTATCATATGACTATCTTCGACACAAAATTTTTCTTATTTTTTTAATAATATAGATTAAATATAAAAATATATAAAGAAATTTCATTGCCTTTAAAATACGTATTTCATTTTTAGAACTATGAGTAACTGTTGTGGTTTATAAAAAAAATTTTTTTTTTATAATAATTTTTAATATTTACATTCCGATCGATTATTTTCTAAAAATATTATCGTAAAATACTAATTCATATCTCCTCAGTTATGATCAATTTATCACAAAAATAAAATACTTTTTAGTCATACATTCTATTCTATTGACAGTGACTAGTCATTTCTGTTTAAAGAAACCACTATATGTTATAAATGCATGACGCTTAGTTTTGAGTCAACCTTCGATCAAATAGCTTCTCTTCCTCAACCGAAACCAAACAATCTCAAGAATTTTGTTTATTTCTGTTCATGGTTTCAAATTGTAAGATGTATATATTTATCTAAAATAAGAACTGTCCAATTTAAAAACATGGTAACTAAAAAATTCTTATAAAAAAAAAATTATATTTTATAAATTCATAAAAATTTTGATTTATATAAAGAAGATATGTAGAAAAAAAAATTTTTAAAAATGTCAGATCATTTACTTAAATTAAAAATAAAAATACAAGATTGAAAAACACCAGGTCACAAAATTTTGTGGTTGCTGTGTATTGAAATGGGACACCCGTAATATATAAATATACAAGTTGGTATCATCTGTCTACTAAAAATCAATAAAATTATTTCTAAAAGGAGAGCTCATTTAAAAAGGCAATAAAATTTCTATTGAATCAGACAAAAAAACATTACTGATAATAACAATGATTGGTAATAAAAATACTTACGGGATTAGTGAGGACTATTTTAGCATCACGGGTACGTACAACAATGCATTGTTCACCTTTAACATGCTGTAAATCAGCACTTACTTCTTCTACTTGATCTAGAATAACAAGCTCAGGTTTTGTAGTTGACTCTGGATGTAATTCTAGTCTATTGGGATATAATTTTGCGTATCGCGTCTGCCAAGCGCTTGCGAATGGACCACCAAGTTTCTTAATATATCCATGAAGTATACAATCAGATTCTTAAATTTAAAAATGAAAAGAAAATTAGTAATTGTCAAAATTATTAAAATTAATTGATAAATTAAATTTAACCTTTTTCGTCAGCATCAAATCGTTGTTTTTGCTTGGCCTTCTTTTTGTTTTCATTCTAAAAAGAAATTATTAGTTAATAATTACTAGCAACCTGCAGTCACTAAGATAAAGTACCCAGTACGTGAACACTTATAAAAATGGGACCAGTACTTGAACAGACTTCTCGAATTGTTGTAATACAATATTCGTAAATTTATTATGAGTAAATATGCGCATGTTGTAATTATTCAATGATACAGTAATTGATTTGTGTAAGTTTTTTCAATTATAAATCAAAGCAATTATATTTTTGTTAAACTTAGACGTTGACATGTCGAGAATAGCCGATAGATGCTATTTTTTTTTTCATAAAAAAGGCACTAAACCATAAACCGAACAATCAGTAAAAAAACAGTATATATATATTTTTTTTTTTTTTTTTTCAATGCCAAGGCAGTATAGCCAGATGGCAAAAGTATACAAAAAGAGTTACAATAAAAGTACACGTATAACTAATGAAGATATAAAGTTTCAAAAGTATTAGATATTAAGAATTGATTATTTTTTTTAATTTGGAATACAATTTTGACAAATAAAAGAAAGAAAATAAATTTGAGTATAAAAAATTTAATAGTTAAACTCAGTGGTACAAATTATACAAATTATAGAAGATGATAATCTGAGATGATCTAGAATGATAAACTTATGTAAACAGAAATGTGAAAATGAATATGAAAGGTTTGAAAATTAGAATTCATTTTCTTCTTTAAAAGTTAAAAATTAAGATTCATTATCTCGTTCACGTTTCATGAAGAATTAAAAAGTACTAGTTTTAAAAGAATTTAAGCTAAGTGAATTTGTGACTTCAAATGGTAATTCCCTCCAAATTCGGATCGCAGAAACTACGAAGGAATGTTCAAAAGTAGTAGTTGAGAAATTGGGCATTTTAAAAGACACATTGATTTGTTTAGCAGCAATTCTTTCCGATCTTCTAATATCTGTAGATTCTTCAACAAAAAGACTTCTAAGAAACTTCGGTTCACCTGATTTTAGAAGTTTGTAGATGAAGCACGCTAACGAGTACATTCGTTTAGATTTAACATTTAGATATATCATCATTTTAATTAAAAAAAATTAGGAAAATGGTTGACCCTGGAGGCTATCCCTGCCACTTCCCGCTAATTCCATACCTAGGCGCTTAAAATTGCACATCATGTTTTCGAGCTCAAAAATGCAATTTATCAAGGACGCAGAAATTTGTAAGTAAGTAAAACAATATAACTGGCACACGTGAGAACTTTTACCAAACAATAAAATCATTAAAAAGAATTAATACATTTAGTAGTCAGGGAGCGGAACATCCTAGAACAGCGTATCCCAATTTAAATGAAGCTTTAGTGATCATTTGCTTATCCGCGAGGGCTTGATGACTTGAGTAATTGAATTTTTAAGATAAATAAAAGTTCAGTGTTTCAATATATATACATACACAGTCTTGTAGTTTTTGTTTTTTATTAATTGTAATTAAATGACACTGAATTAATTAGCCATTCGTATTCGGTGACCTACAATTATCGATTAGAATTAAAAAAAAAAAAATTTAACTCAAATAATTGATTTTTTCACAAGTTACAGTGTTTCCAGAGTTTCATACATGACGGACAGGAAATTTTTTTGACCTATTTTGATGTTTTTTTCCGTTTCTATTGCACTAAATCAATTTTTAGAAAGTATGGAATTAATCTCCATTAAATTATCTCGACAATAGTATGCAAAATATCTTGATTCCGTGAACTAACAAGGGTATAATACTAAAAATAGTTGCCAAAATGAGGCGAAAAAAATTTTTCGATCGTAAAACACTCTCTGATGCTTCGCATCATGAGTCGTGCAATACAAATATTTCTCATTTTTAAATGAACATATTAAATATTCATAGTATTATTTTTAATATCATTCAATAATATGTTGTAATTCTTTTGATATTTCAATAAAACGTTGAAAATTTTTGCTGTCATATATTGCCATATATTTTATTAGTTCAGCTACTGCTCCCGGAGTGTGCAACTACTGCGGGTTATCAGAATTGATTGTTCAACTACTACTCCTTTCATAATCTATCTTAAAATCGTTGTCAAAATATAAATACTCAATTATCTTTGTTATTTTGCTCTTCAATCAATTCAAAATTGTTTATATTTCTGGAAAATCACTAATTTGAACTAATAATTACATCTTTATATATTAAAAGTAGGGTCAAATACGTTTTACTTTAAAACCTGTTCAACTACTGGGTACTTTACCTTACACAACTACAAAGAATAAGAAAACTTTGATTTAATGATTTTTTTATATTTCTAATCAGACTATACGTACTTTGGGTACTTTTCAAATAAATTTAAAAAATAGTGCTATGACAGGATCAATTATTTTCGATAACTTATCAAAATAAATAAACTATTTTAGAAAAGTATATGAAACATTGAAAAGGAAGTAATTCAGGTCAAGATCTTTTCAATATTTCTGAATTTAATTCAAAAAAATTCATTTGATCATATCATTATTTTCCTTAGAAAATTGCCTTCGAAAATTCCTTAGAAAATTGCCGAAGACAAAATTTTCCTTATTCTTTTAATTATATAAATTATTTAATTAACTATTAAATAAAATAAAGTTCAATTTCTTGAAAATTAAACAATACCTTATCCGCTTCAATGTTGATTGTTTCAAAAACAGTTTCGGCAATTTCGGCTTGCCATCTCTCAGAGATAACCAGTGGAAATTCTTTGTAAAGATCTTGATCAGCGTCTGTCAATTTGATACCCTTAGTATCTTCTTCATCAAATGAACCAATGTCAAATGCATCCGCCGCATTAACTTCACCCCTCGGTGGTATCAAGGGAGGAGTATATTTTTGGAGATAAACCTGTTGCCAATCAATTCCACTAAAAAATGGATGTGCTTTTAATTCATCAGCTCCAGCGCCTCGACATCCGAGCCTGTTGTTGACATCGCGTTGTAGCAAGCCCTCCAAAAGTGAACATAATTCACGTGAAAACGTGTCTGGAAACTCGACATTCTGCGAATAAAGTAGTCAATGTAGTCAATAATTTATTTTAAATCTCATCACGTACTAACGTCGACCACACTGATAGAAGGATTTATTAACTATTAATAATTTAATTTATTAAATTTTAATAAATATTTTTCAACATTCAATAAATATTTATTTGGGAGGAAAGTACATTCATTAATAGTTGATAATTATTTTTTAATAGTTAACAAATATTTATTAACAGTTAATAAATATTTTGTTGATTGAATTTGTTTCGCTTGTAATGTAATATGATATGAAGATTGCTTATAAGCAAAAATCATCTTTAGAAATTTTTTCCATTGATTACATTACATTATAATAATGTTTATTGTAAAATACGAAATTCTATTAAGGTAAAGTATCCAGTACTTGAGATTTATAAAAATAGGACCAGTACTTGAACAGATTTTTCGAATTGATATAATACAAAATTCGTATATTTATTATGAGTAATATGCGCATTTTATAATTATTCAATGATACAGTAATTGATTTCTGTTAGTTTTGTCAATTATAAGTCAAAACAATTATATTTTTGTTAACTTATAAGTTGATATGTCGAGAATAACCGATAGATGCTATTTTTTCATGAAAAAGGTACTAAACCGTAAACCGAACAATCAGTAAAAAAAAACGGTATATCATAATTTTAAGTAAAAAAAATTGTACTACCCAATGAAATAGTCTTTTCTAAATAATACATATTTTTTGCAGACATAAACTGTAATTTTTATATTAAATTTTAGCTATACCTCCAAATTTTCAAAGCGGTACCCTAAATTTGAACAAGCTGGGGCCGTATAATTTTAACATCACTCTAATAGGTTTATAGACTAGTGATCAACATTGTGATTTGTATTAATGACTGCAAATTAAATAAGTTTTATAGCTAAAAATTAGTGTAGTTAAAAATTATTGAACGATTTGAATTGCGTTTTTTTTTTATTTATAATTGAAAATTTACTTTGTCATTCATAAAAAATATAATTAAAAAATTAAATACAAATATTTCTCATTTTTAAATGAACATATTAAATATTCATAGTATTATTTTTAATATTATTCAATAATATGTTAGAATTCTTTTGACATTTAAATAAAACGTTGAAAATTTTTGTGGTGCCTACTGCCCTATATTTTATTAGTTCAACTAATGCTCCCGAAGTGTTCAACTATTGCGGCTAGTCAGAATTGATTGTTCAATTACTACTCCTTTGATAGTCTATCTTATTAAAAACGTTGTCAAAATATAAATATTCAATTATCTTTGTTATTTTGCGCTTCAATCAGTTCAAAGTTGTTTATATTTTCATGAAAATCAATAATTTGAACTAATAATTATCTCTTTATACATTAAAAGTAGGGTCAAATACGTTTTACTTTGAAACCTGTTCTACTACTGAGTACTTTACCTTACAGCTCATAATTATCTTTCATATTTTTAAATATTAAAAACTTTAATTTATTTAGTGAATTGAATTATTATCATGTATTCCAGCTATAGGGTTGTAAAAAATGTCAAAATAAAATTGCTATTTTTGGTTTTTATCTTCAATAAATATTTGTTAACAGTTAAAAAATATTCATTAACCATTAATAAATAATTATTAACATTTAATAAATAATTTACTAACTGTTAATAAATATTTATTAAATCCTGTGATGTTAAAAAACCATTCATTAACAGTTCATAAAGCTTATTAAATATAAACAAATCCTTTTATCAGTGTATTAAATTATATATAGTTCATGTTTTCGCATAATTATTTATGGTCTTTTTTTATATTGATATCAAATAAAAATTATTTTTGAAATAACCTGTCTTTTATTCTAATGAAATATAAAACATAAAAAATAAAGAAATTTAGAATTTAATTGGAATTTAATAATTTTTTTTTTTTTTTAATTTAAATAGTAAATTTATCTTTAAGAAAAAAAAAATTTGTAATTTTAACTTATGTCTAGCAAAGCGGACAGCTAATGATTTATAAATATATAAATATCAAATCATCATCTTTGAATTGTGAATAAACAGAAATTCAAGTACAAATCTCTTCAATGGTATTAGTCAGATTTTAAAATCGATTTTATCGTATAAATTAATTTTAAGCAAAATTGAACTATTATTGTTGATGATGCAAATAAATAAATAAATACATATTAATCCAAATTTAGCAACAATATTTACACCCACCATCGTCAATGTCATTCGATCGATTTCATTTTTATCTTTAATCTTGTGTTGTCTGAATGGACTGTGACCCTTGAGCAGTTTGTAGAGCACGCAGCCAAAGGAAAACCAATCAGCACTAGAATCGTATGTCGTTCCTTTTGACAGCACCTCAGGGGCCATATATCCGTGTGTACCACTGATAAATAAAAATAAAATACAATTCAATATTATTTGCAATTGTTTTTGAAATACCGTCAGTGGTTGTTGTTGTTTCTATTATTTTTGTTTCATACAAGTTTGAATTTACTACAAACTTCTGAAACGCTGGTGGTTTTTAGAATTTATGAAGTTTCCCTGGTAATTTATTATCTAAAAAAAAATATTTTAATAACTTAAAGAAAATTATACATCATGTTAAAATTTACTTTTCCTGCTATTGATAAAAAAAAGGCAAAAATTTTGTTGAAGAAATTACTAAGAAAAACTTTTAAAAAAATACAATGCCGTCTTTTGACAATAATTTTACTATGTAATTGGATAGAGCTTTAGATTACGTGTGCGTTGAGCCAACGAGCAAAGTGTGTGAGCCGACACACGAGTGCAAAAAATTTATCCAATAAGTTCATATATAAATAAATATCATTAATTAATTTAATTGTGCAAAATATTTATACGATTCGGTTAATAAAGTATTAATTGAATAAATAATAATGAAATAATTTTAGAATTAAAAAAACGCCATTCGGCCGCAGATATGGATAGTTATTCTGGAATGAGAATCGAAAAATAAATCTACCTAAAAAATAGCATTTGTACACGCAAAAAAGAAAAATGTAAAAATTACGTTATAAATAAGTAATAAGCGTCACTTTGTATAAAAAACTAAAAAAATTGCAGTTTGAAATAACATTTTTATAAATTCAAACTTTGAATGTTAATATTCAGAGCTTTCAAGGTAATATTTATATTTTACAATGTCTTTTACAAAATCTGTAATAATTACAATTTGAAACTGTAATTTTTTCAGTTTTTTATATGAAGCGCCACGTTACATTATATAATATAATTTTTCGCTTTTTCTTTTTTCCGTGGAATATATGAAAGTTATTTGAAGATAAAAGTAAAAAATTAATTTATTTTAACTCTATAATTATAAAATAAATTGAAAAAATCATCCCAAATTGACAAATATTAAATTGAAGATATTCATGGGAAATTCGACATAAATTTAATAAATTCAATTTCATTATTAAATCCCAAACGTAATCGGATTAATTTGTCTCGATAACTTTTTAATAGTGTCCAAAATATTTTATTAAACAACTCAATTCTAGGATAAATACCCCAATAGATGGACAGATATTATTTCTAGAAGCAATTACATTAGTTTTAAGAACAAAAATCTTAAGTCGTTATATTTTTTTGTATCTTCAAATAGTTCTGAGAGCGAGAAGTAATTTTTTTTTAACTTTTTATTTGTAATAATAGTTTAAAAAAATTATTTAAATTGGACGTCTCGAGGTTTTGCTCCAAGAGCGCCGCCACTAGTAACTGTATGATAGATAGCTGGTGGACATTATTTGTTATTATTATTATTAAAAATAATAAAAAAAGTAAGATTTGTACATATAATTACGCTTATATTTCACTAACAAAGCTAGAAATATAATATTTTAACGATAAAATCGAAAAGAAATAATAGAATTTAGTGTCCATCTATTGGTGACACTTTACTAACCTTTATCCAATAGATGGACATTGAGTTTATATGATGAATTTTCTTATTTTTTTTTTTTTTTTTTATTTTTTTTTTAATGTTGTTGGTGGATCAATGTGAGAATAAGAGTAAAGATTATAGCAAACAGACATGTACTGGAAATGAAAGTATTATTATGATTATTGAAGAAATTTAAAAAAAAAAACGAAAACGCTGAATAAAAGAGAAAATTGAGAGAAGGAAATTTAAAAGCAAAAGAGAACAGACCTATTAAAAGGAAGAAGAAGACAACATAACGTTTTTAACGTTGTGTTTTATAAATTTATATTGATAATTTATTAATCATTAATATTCTTTATGTTAATATATTTTGTATGTTACTTTACATGAGAAAGCATCACGTGTTCAAAATTAATAAAATTACTTTATGATGTATTTTGAAAATTA